GGAGAAAAATCTTTGCGATCTTTGGTTAGGCAAAGATTTCTTAGATGCAACACCAAAAGCATGATCCATTAAAAAAAAAAAGATATATTGGACTTCATAAACTTCAAGAAGTTCTGCTCTTCAAAAGACAATTTAAGAAAATGAGAGGTGAAGCCACGATTTTGAAGAAAATATTTGCAAATCACATATTTGATAAAGGATTTATATTCGAAATACATAAAGAGCTCTCCATATTTAGAAAACAAAACAACCTAATAAAAATGAGGGAAAAATCTGAGCAGATACTTCACCCACGAAGATATGTGGGTGGCAAATAAGTATGTAAAAAGGTGTTCGACATCATTAGTCGTTAGAGAATGCAAATAAAAACCACACGAGATACCATTGCACACCTACTAGAATGTTTATGATCCAAAGCCTGATCGTGCCTAACGTTGGTGAGGGTGTAGAGATCTGGAACTCCTCTACATTGTGGTGGGAATGTAAAATGGTATGACCGTTTGGGGAGCTGTTTGGCAGGTTCTAAAAAAGTTAATCATGCATCTACCATATGACCCAGTCATTCCAGTCCTAGGAATTTACCCGAGAGAAATGAAAGCATATGCCCACACAAAGATTTGTACTTGAGTGTTCAAAGCAGCTTTATTTGTCATAGTTAAAAACTAGAAACAACAGGCCAATAGATAAACAACTTGTGGTGTATTTCTACAATGGAATACTATTTAGCAGTAAAAAAGGAATGAACTATTGTCAATAGATGCAGCAACATGGCTGAATCTCAAAAATTATTCTGAATGAAAGAAGCCAGGGAAGGGATAGTACATACTGTATGATTCCATTTATATCAACTATTTAAAAAGCAAATGAATGTATAGTGACGGAAAGCAGATCAGTGATTGCTTGGGGTGGGTGGGGGGCAGGGCAAGAGGGAGAGATGACAAAGGGTTCCTAGGAAACTTTTTGGGGTGATGGATATGTTCACTCTCTAGATGGTGACAATGGTTTCATGGGTGTATACATATGTCCAAACTTACTAAATTGTACATTCTAAATATGTGCAGTTTATTGTATGTCAATAAAGCTTTTGTTAAAAAAGGAAAATTATATTACTAAGGACATAACACACTGTCTTGAGAAATTTCAAAGGAGTGACAGGCCAGTCCCCCTCAGAGGCTAGCCCTTCTCCTATGGTTTGTGATGCTAGTGAGGCCAAGGCCCACCACCCCATCCTCACTGACCATTTCGCTTTCCATGAGATCTTCCATCTTTATCTGCTGCTGGAACCTTTGGCTACTCAATGGTAAGTAGGTCCTACTGGTCCAAAGGAGACGAGAAAGAAAATGAGCCCACTGGGTGTGACTCACCTGAGTGCAGTCTCTTTGGGGAACTCTTCAAAGCTGAACATCTTTTTTTGAGCTTCTGACAGCAGCATCCTCAGGGATGGATGGTGGACCAGCGTGCTAACCTCTAGACAACCTGGTTCTTCCCTTTTTATCAGACTTTTCATAAACTGCCTTGAGTTGTAATATTTTGGGTGTTTGCCCCATTTTCTCTACTAGATTAGACCCTAACACATTTCCTTTTTGCCGTGGCTGTTGGGCAGCTCACAGTTAACGGTCCCTAACCTTTTGGGCACAAGGTGCTCCTATGAGAATCTAATGCCTGATGATCTGAGGTGGAGCTGAGGCGGTGATGCTAGGGCTCAGAGAGGCTGCAAATACAGATGAAGCTTTGCTCACTCACCCGCCTCTCACCTCCTGCTGTGTGGCCTGGGGCGGCCAGGGTTTGGGGACCCCTGTTCACAGTCAAGGATGGTACCTAGTTGCAGAGATCAACTCATCCTAGGTGCCTAAACCAGGTAGTTTCCTGCTTCCTTTAGGTGGTTTTTGTTATTGGTTGGTTTATTTCTATATTTATTTTTAATATATCTTTTTACTATGTATTCCATTTTATGAAGTCATCTCAGATTCTTTTTACAAACAGGTGGGATTTAAATCATTATTTAAAAAATTCTCCTCAATACTCTGTATGGGGTCGGGAACACGTCCTGCACATTTTCCCTGCTTCCCACTGTATCTGGGAGAGCATATTGCATGAGATAAATGCTCACTAAAATACGTTGACTACATTAGATAATTCCTAATAATTATGTTAGAAGCTCTCCCAAAGGGAAAGTTCTGTAAAGAAATCGAATGACAAACTCATGCGATTATTAACATCTTTTCTACGTCCTATTTCCCATGGCCCCTGCCTGGCAACATCAGTACAGATGCTGAGATGACTGCTTTCACATCTGTTTGGTGCCTCAGTGGATGGCCAGCCTAAGAGGGCACTTAGCCCGTGACTCACAGGGAAGTTTTGCTCCTCGGAGAGGAAATCAATGGCATGAGTCTGGAACTCAGTGCTTCAAGTGGTGGCATTGTCCTTCTCTCCCAGGTGTTCTCTGTCTAGATTTTCTGCCTGGTGCCTTAGGAACTTCTCTCACTCTCTCGAATTCAGAGGCTCATATTTAACTTGTGATTCAGTGAGGACAGCCATTCTGAGCTGGGAATTGTTCCCTAAGGACATCTGGCTGCAGCTGAAGTTGCCCGTTGCTCATTGCTCCTAACAAGGTCCACATGATGTAAGTTTCAAACTGTCCCAATAGGACCGTGCTCAGCATGGCTAATAAAGGATATCAGCCTTTGGCAAAAAGTGGCAGGGTTATTTAAAACCAAACTTTTCGTTCAAGAGTTATGGTCTTTTAACAAGATCCTAAGGAACCCGTAAAAGGGCCTGCGGAATACAGGCAGACCTTGGACATTATGACCACCACGATAAAGCAAATATTGTAATAAAGCGAGCTGTAATCTTTTTCTGGTGAAGGGTCTTGCCTTCAGTTTGTAAAATATGCAACATCTGTGAGGCTCAATAAAGTGAAGCACAATTAAACTGAGTATGCCAGTAAAACAAGAGGGCCCCCAGATAGTCAGAACCCATAAACGAGGATCCCTAGCAGGGGAGAAACTCAGTCTTCAATTTTTGGCCCCCTTTCCTGTCCTTTCCTCTTAGATCACTAAGGATACAGGAATTTTGATGATTGGAGAAAAAAAAAAAAACAACCCGAAAAAAGTTGGATCATACCCTGCTGGGTCTCAAAGAGCTTTACTAGATGACACTCCCCAAATGATGAAGTTTAAAATTTTGGCTTGGCATTCAGGGACGTACAGAATCTGATCCCAACTTTCTCTTTCAAGTACTTGCTCCCTACTCTCTGTCAGAAGACCTGGGCTCAGGCTATACCAGTCAACTCTTGGTTAGCTTGGCACTTCTGCTCGTCTTGCTCCTCCTGTGTGAAAAGTCTTTCCCACTCCCGTCCTCCATTCTGTTTACAGAACTCAAATCCCTTTCCTAGTGAGAAGAGTAAACCATCCGCTGAGTCAATTTGTTTGCCCTAATTTCTATGAGTTTGGGACAATAAATAACGCTGCCCGGCATCTGCTTCTTCACAAGACCCTAAGCAGCGGGAGGCAGATCCTGGCTGTTTTAACAACCTAGTGCCCCTCCCAGAACCTGGGATGCAGGAGGCCCTTGTAATTACTGGTTATGGAGTGACTGGTGTGTTCTTCTTCCTCTTTTTTTTTAAATTCTTAATGCAAATTTTATTAATTCAAAATGTGCCATACCATTCACATTCAAAAAGTACAAAGGAGTAAAAAGTCACTCTGTTCTCTAGCCACCCAATTTCCTTCTGTGGAAACAACCAATATTATCAGCTTTTTATAAATCCTTTTAGAAATATTCAAGCATATATATTCTTCTCCCTCTTTTTAAAAAAATAAATGGGCTCATCCTCAGTTTTGCAGTTTTTTTCCCTTCACTATGCTCATATACACTTATTTAAAAAACTTATGTAACCAATTATTTATTGATAACATTTAAGTTTTTTCTTTTTTTTTCTTTGAAAAAAACAATGCTGCAGTGAATATTCTTGTAAATTTGTTATGTTCACAAATGTGAGTGTTGATATAGGAAGAATTTCTAGAAGTGGAATTGCTAGGTCAATGGTGTGGGCATTTTTAATCTTGATCAGCATTGCCTAATTGTTTTCTGTAAAGAGTGTCCAATCTTACACCCGCTAGCAATATTATATGGCTCCATATCTTTGCCAGCACGACATGTTATCTAACTTTTTATATACATTGATTTGGGCTAGTGGGTACATTCTTGTATTTCCAAGATTTTAAAGCATAACCTGTAGGAGATGGCCCAATGAACACATGCTTTGCAGGTTGATGTTTAGGATGAGATTTGGGTATCTCTTGATTATTTTAGGAAGGAGATCACTATAGAAATCAGAAGAGTCTCTATAGCCATACTGTGAGGATTATATGGGATGTCTGTGAAGCTTTTTGTCACAGTACCTGACATATAATAGGTGTTCAATAAATGTGGCTGTAATTATTAGCTAATAAACAATATGTTATATGTAGCGATGGCAGATTAAGGGGCTACTTTGGTGACATAATCTGCCCTCTTGGAGGTTAAGGACTCTGTAGTCCAGTAAATTCCTCTCTAGCACTTATTGGCAGTGTGACTTTGAGCACACCTCCTAAACTCCCAACCCTCAGTTTTCTCATCTGTAAAGTAGAAGAATAAAATCCAAGTCTCGAGGTTTGCCCTGAAGTTTAAATGTGTAATACTCATAAGTGCTTACTACACATTCTCTTCTTTACTCCCAATCCAATAGGGAGAAATCGAACAACCCATCAAACAACACAATAACCCCAAGAAATTAGCGGGTCGGAGAATAGGGAGACGCGGGCCAGTCAATTACGGCCGGTGCGTCGCGTGTGGAAGGCGAAAGGATCACGGAGCGACGAGCCACCGCTCAGCTCAGCTTCTGCAAAACACTCCCGGCACCCCGCCGGGGAGGTCCTGCCCAGGGCAGCGCCGCAGAAGCGCAGCGATCACCCTGGCAACACCGCCTTCCGGTCTGCTTTTCCCCCGCCCCCACTTCCTGTTCGTCACACGTCATTGTCCGGCGACCGGCTTCCGGTAAGGGTCGTGTTGGGGTGCGGTGCCGGATGGGAGGGAGGTGCGGGGCGGAGGTCGCAGGGCCTGATTTCGGCGTCCCCTCCTGCACGCAGTGCTCGGCCCAGCCATGGAGAGCGGAGGGAGGCCCTCGCTGGGCCAGTTCATCCTCCTGGGCACCAGCTCTGTTGTCACCGCCGTCCTGTTCTCCGTGTTCCGGCAGAAGGCCCAGGTCGCCCAAGAGCTCAAGGTCAGTGCTGGAGCCGGCCTGGCCTCACACGGGTCATCTCTACCCCCGGTAACGGTGAGCCCAGGGTTCTCCGTGGGCCGCTCCACCGTGGAAAACCATCCAAAAGAGGAAACAGGGTCAGAAAGGTCATCACCCAGCCAGTAAATGGAGGAACTGGGATGAGAATTCGGGTCTCGTGATAACTGCTCCATGGCGCCTTTTTTTCTTAAGCTCCTCCCATTTCTCAGAATGAACCTTGACTTCATTGCTCTATTCGACAAATACTTATCGAACACCTGCTATGCTCCAAGCACTGGAGTTATCGCAGTGGATAGAAAAGACTCAAGTCCCTGCCCTCATGGAGATTCCATTCTACTACAACCAGACAGACAATGACCAAGTAAATCAGATGGTATGACAGATGGGGATAAATACTACAAAGTCATGTAGAGGGGAGAGGAAATGGAATGCTGGAGAAGCTGGGCTTGCTATTTTAAATCAGGTGACATTTGAACAGCACAGGAGATGAGGGAGACTGTACACATGTCTTGGAGAAGAGCAGTTCAGAGAGAGGGAACAGCAAGTGTGGAAACCCTAGACTTCATCCGTTTGCGCAGCTACTCAGCTGCTTGGTTCTACAGACTTTTCCTTTATATATTTCGTTACTTTAAAAATAGCACTCCTTGAGCTGCACGTTACAGCTTACGTAAGACATTCCCATCTTGCTGTTTTTTCTTCACTGTAATTTTTGGAGGTAAAGAAAATGACAGTTACCTCCAGGTTGCGAATCAGGAAATTGAGACTCAGAGAAAAGGTCTTATGGCTCTTAGATCTTTAGATTGCAAAAGGATTTTTTTTTTTTTTTCTGTTTGACCACTGTGCTGTACTGTGAGTGTTTGGCCCATGAGAGATGCACCTCGTTAGATTAGAGACAAGGTCTTATTTATCTTTCCTCATTCCTTCTAGGTTCTAAATCAGTGCTTGACAGCTGGTAGATGTTCAGTAAATGTTTGTGGATTCGTTTTGGCTGAAATTTCAGAATTCAACAGTTAGGGCTTAATTGGACATTAATTTGAAAGCTGGATTCCTAAACCCATCCTAACTTCAATTATCAGATTGTTTTCAGTAAGGGCTTAGAAACAAACGTGTGAATTCCTCGCTGCGAGGAGAATTTTAGAATCCGTCTGGAATGAACCAAGTTATCAAGCAATTTGTGGTGCGAATGGCATCCTAGTGAGATTCCAGCTGCCCTATTATTGTTCGCCTAATTAAATAACCAAGTTACTCCTGAAGGGCTTGGCTATGAGTGTCACTGATACTTCTGACTCTGAAACTCAGAAATTAAGTTGGCTGGATGCAGGATTCTTTGAAGCCGCGAACTCTCCAGGACCCATCTTTGGGTAATCTTAAAAGCTTTGCCAATTAGTGCCTAAACGGGGATGAAATAACCCCATCCTGGAAAAAAAGAGATTCTGTTTTCTTCCTCAGATTACAGAACTGGAGTCGAGTTTGTATCTTATCCTTGTGATGGGAATGCATATTTATTGCATGCCTACTATGTGCCAGCCCCTGGGCTAGATTCTTTCACAACTTAAGCTTTATTTAATCCACATAAAAATTCGGCAAGATTGTTCTCCCCATCTTTTACAGTTTTGGAAACTGAAACTAAGATAAATTAAGTTGCCCAAAGTCACAGCAGATGCATTTAAGCTTGACTCAACCCCAGGTCTTTCAGAGAATATTCCTCCTCCTGTTTTTTCTTTAAATTCTAACTGGCCATCTTGTGGTGGATACATTACCAGCTATGTGACTTGGGACAAGTCACTCACCTCTCTGAGCATCGAAGTTTCCTTATCTGTTACTGGGGATAACAACATCTACTGTATAGGGATGGTGTGCACATTAACTGGATTTATGCATTTAAAGTACTTGGCATAATGCCTGGTACCTAGTATATCTAAGTGCTAATTTATTCAATAATTTATTCATCAAATACATATCGAGTGCTCGTTGTGTCAGGAATTGTTCTCGGCACTAGGGGGACAGCAGTGAATGAAACAAACAAACAAAAATTCTAGCTCTCCCAGAGTTTAATAGTCCTGTAGAAGGAGTCAGATAAAACGAGTAAATAAACTGTTGTTATTGCTGTTATTTTTCATTATCTACACTCCTGTCATAGAGTGACCATAATATGTATTCAGTACCTCATCACCTCTTTAGAGGTTACGTATCTGGCATCCTCAGAATTTGTTGATGGGAATACCTTAAAAGCGGAAACTGTCCTTCATTCATCTCTGAATCTCTAGCACCCAGCACCGTGCCTGGCACATAGATGCTCAGGAAATGTTCATTGATTTTTCTCATTTTTGATGCAGCAATAGCAGGCTTGGCTGGTTTGTAAGCACAGCAAGTTGGAAACTCCGAATTTGGAAGGGATGGGAGAACTGGGGGTTGTGAGAGGGAGATAGCAGAAGTCACCATGGTCACCATGCAAACCGAAAATGGAAGTGTTTGGCACAACTTAACAGAGCCTCGCCCTATAAAACAAAGGCTCCCTTTTATGATGATCATAATGCAGAGCATGCATTGATAAAGGCATGGTGATAACACCTGCCATTGCTCCAGCCCCTGCCTTGTATTAGGCACTTGTTTAGGTGCTTTACACGTAAGGCCTTTGGATGTATGGCTCTGTATTGTCAAGAAGGGATTAATTTATGTTCAGTCTATGGTATACAAATTGATTCGTACTTTTCATTTTTTACATTAAAAAAGTTAAAATGAAAGGAGCGTATGTTTCCATTAACTGTAGAAAGAATGTATGTGACACGCACATTCTACAGATGGCAGAGAGGGAGGCACTGCCCCGTGCCTGTTTATATGTTAAAACTTCTGGGACACAGCTTTGGAATCTGATTCTCCCCTAGTCTCCCTCCTGCCTGATTTCCCCACTCTCAACGTGAAAAAGTAAGTAGACTTTTTCTTTTTTGCTCTTTAAGATTAAATATATGTCAGTATTCAGTAGTTTAATATGTTCTTTGCATTTAGGGAGCTAAAAGAATCCATTTGGGTGAAGACTTAAAGAGCATTCTTTCAGAAGCTCCCGGAAAATGTGTGCCTTACGCTGTTATTGAAGGTATGTTTACTTATTGGTGCAATGAAAAGTAACTTTCTCTTCTAAAAGTTTTATAAAGATCTTGGCTGATGTTAAGGGCCCTTTGCAACCTTGGGGCAGTGGTCCAGAACTTGAACTTTGGGGTCCAAAAGACCTGTATTATTGCCATGTGATCTTGGGGAAATTACCTAATATTTCTGAACCTCTGTTGTCCCGTCTTTAAAATAATTTTACGTTATAGGGTTGTTGTAAAACTGAAATGACGTGATCCACGTAGTGCTTAGAAGAATCCCCACAAAGCGTAACTTACGGTGATAACATTTTCGTCATTTCGTTTCATGAAACTAACAACAAAGTTTAAATTACCTTAAAAGAAAGGACAGAACAGTTCTTCAGAAATAAAATAATTTGTTTCCATTTAGGAGCTGTTCGATCTGTTAAAGAAACGCTTAACAGCCAGTTTGTGGAGAATTGCAAGGGAGTGATTCAGCGGCTGACGCTGCAGGAGCACAAGATGGTATGGAATCGAACAACCCACCTTTGGTATGTAGCCTCTCGTCGCCGGCCAAAACCTGACAGTCGGTCAGTTCACTTGCTGGTGTCCTGGGTGCTGTTCCCATGGCTCCGACTTCTCCCGAGACAAGGCGTAGAGCAGTTTCTTAATGCCGCCGATAACATTCTTGTGAGAGGTCTGAGGACCTCTCACATCAGAGTCACCTAGGCATCTTGTGAAATTCTTGGGCTGCATTCCAGAACTACCAAAGCAGGATTTCCAGGATAGGGGCCCCAGAATCTGTCGACATGCCCGCTAAAGTTTGAGAACCACCGACTTGTGGCATGGATTAATGATTTCAATATTTATTGAAACAATTTTGAGCCATTAAATGGAATGTCATTTTGCTAAATGATCCTAGTGGGTTTTTGTTTTGCGTGTTTATTTTATTTGATTTTTTATTATGGTGAGAACACAACATAAGATCTACCCTTTTGACAGATTTTAAGTGCAGCGGTACAGTACTGTTGATGACAGGCACACAGTTGTACAGTCCATCTCTAGAATTTGTTCGTCCTCTATAACTGAAACTTTATGGCCGTTGAACAGCAACTCCCATTTTCTTTTCCCCCCAAGTCCCTATCGGCCACCGTTCTCTGTTTCTATGAGTCTGGCTATTTTAGATACCGCATGTAAGTGGAATTATGCAATATTCGTGCTTCTGTGAGTGGCTCAGTTTGCTTAGCATAATGTTCTCCAGGTTTATCCATGTTGTCGCATGCGGCTTTCCCTTTTTTTATGGAGTGTGTCGTGTGCGTATCACCTTTCTATAGCCATTCGTCCGTTGATGGACACCGAGGTTGTTTCCATGTCTTGGCCGTTGTGAATAATGCTGCCCTGAACAGGGGTACACATCTCTCTCCCAGATCCTGATTTCAGGTTCTTTGACTGTATCCCCAGAAGTGAGATTGCTGGATCATATGGTAGTTCTATTTTTAAGGTTTGAAGGAATCGGTAATTTATTTTAAAGTGGCAAGGGCAAATAAATGGTAGGGGTGATCTTTGTATTTGTTGCCCACTGGTATCACCCGAGAAAATAACGAACGAGCCTCCCTATTATGAGGCACATGGATAATAGTGATTTCTCTTGTACTCTTTCCAGTCACTTCAGACTTTATCCTGTCCTCCCGGCGTTTATGCGACCTCCATCTCTGCCTGGGCCTGAGCTGTTTGCAGCCCTTTATTTTATCTTGAGTTCTTTTATTTTAGGAATGACTGTTCGAAGATCATTCACCAGAGGACCAACACGGTGCCCTTTGACCTGGTACCCCACGAGGACGGTGTGGATGTGGCTGTGCGAGTGCTGAAGCCGCTGGACTCACTGGATCTGGGCCTGGAGACTGTGTACGAGAAGTTCCACCCCTCCATCCAGTCCTTCACCGATGTCATCGGCCACTACATCAGCGGCGAGCGGCCCAAAGGCATTCAGGAGACCGAGGAGATGCTGAAGGTTGGGGCCACCCTCACGGGGGTGGGCGAACTGGTCTTGGACAACAACTCAGTCCGCCTGCAGCCCCCCAAGCAGGGCATGCAGTACTATCTCAGCAGCCAGGACTTCGAGAGCCTGCTGCAGAGGCAGGAGTCGAGTGTCAGGCTCTGGAAGGTCCTGACACTGGTTTTCGGCTTTGCCACGTGTGCCACCCTCTTCTTTATCCTCCGAAAGCAGTATCTGCAGTGGCAGGAGCGACTGCGCCTCAAGCAGATGGAGAAGGCGTTCCGAGAGCACGAGGCACAGCTGCTGAGCCAAGCCAGGCCCGAGGACAGGGAGAGCCTGAAGAGCACCTGCGTCGTGTGTCTGAGCAACTTCAAGTCTTGCGTCTTCCTGGAGTGTGGGCACGTCTGTTCCTGCACCGAGTGCTACTGCACTCTGCCAGAGCCCAAGAGGTGCCCCATCTGCAGGCAGGAGATCACCCGGGTGATTCCCTTGTACAACAGCTAAGGTCCTGAGGCCTCACCGACGCACTCGAAAACAACTTCCCCTTTTCAGGGTGTTTATCAGGAGGCCTTGAGAAGAGCAGTGGTGGGGCAGCTGTTACCTCCGGGCGTGGCTGAGGGAGCGGGGTGGGGAGCTCTCACACCTCCAACAGTAGGATGCTGCCTTTCCAGCCTGAGAGGGGACCCTTTCCAGCACCACGTGAGAATCAAAGCCCCACCCTGGGTGTGGTGGCATAGAATCCCTGCCCAGGAACCCGACGACTGTGTGTGTGTGTGTGTGTGTGTGCGCGCGTGTGCAACTTCAGTTAGGTACGTACATTAAGCTAGAAAATGGTAGCATGAAGAAACGTCTATCTTTTCGTTAGCTAGTAGATGTGAGTGTGTGTGTGTGTGTGCGTGCGTGCGTGCGCGTGTGTGTGTGTGTGTGTGTGTGTGAGAGAGAGAGACTGACAATGCCTTGTTGCTTAAGCGCCAAAGCCAGTGATCTTCAGCTCTTTGTTCCTGTGTCCTTCTGGTCCTTTCTGCTGAATTGTTGATACCTGCAGACTTGAGCCTTGAATGACTCAGCCAGAGCGGGGGCAGAGTTGGGGTCCAAGGGTGGTATATGCCTCTCAGAGCTGCCTCTGAGGAGACTCTGTCCTAGTGATTCTTCCTTTTGCCTACACCCCAGGAAAAAGTTGTCAGCCTGGATACGTCACTTGTGTCCCTTTCCCCTTATCTCTTTGCCTCCTAAATGTGTGCGCACGTGCATCAGGACAAAAATAAAGTGAAATCCAGCATCTGCCTTTTGCCTACAAGGATGGAACTCTGATCAGCAGAATGAAGAACAGTCACTTGAAGGGACAGTGGGAATGGTGGTCAATTCAGCAGTCCCCAGGTGTGGCGAAGACCGGGCAGCATGGCTGCAGCTCTGCGGGTGTCTGCACTGACCTACCGGGAGGGCCACCAGCGTTAGGCCTCCCGCCCTAATTTGGGACTCCTGAGGGCTGAGGGGTGGCTCTGAGATGAGCCGGAAGGGCTCACCTCCCACAGGAAGCAATAAGGACGCTGCTGCCCCAGCCTCATGGCTGTGTCAGCTTCTCTCCAAGGAAAAGTAGCCAGCCAGCATCCTGCGCACAGAGCCTTTCCTAGGCTCCCTTCTCCACTGAGAGGTTCACGTCTCGTGAGTGTAATCACATCGCCCCTTTGTCAGCGTTCACCCCTCACCTGCCCCTCTTGAGTTTGTGAGTATAAGAGAAGTGGGGAAACCTCACTTGTCACCTCTTGAGTTGTCAAAGGTCATGTACGCACCTCTTCTGTATGGCCCTTCTCTGACTTTGAGTGTTCGTCTCCCGATCCTCCTCTGCGCAGGGGAGGTAGGGGTTCTCCCAGGAGGCTGACACCATTCTATGCAGTGTCCAGCACAGACAGCACAAATTAAACATGTCACAACCAAGTGTTAGCCTGTTGCTTTGTCAACGTGAGTTTATTGCTTGGGCCGAAGCTCCCCCAAATGGAATTGAATCCCGTCATGACAGAATGAACCTTGAAGCTTGTGTGTGTTCCTTTCCTCGGCTGGGTTTGGGGCTCCCACAGATGGCGTGCAGCTTGGTGATGGTGAGGCCTGGGGAAGGCGTCTCCGGGCAGCTTGAGGGTGGGCCATCCTGGAGGGCAGCCCGTCGGTCACACTTGGCCTCACTGAGGCAAGTGTCTTTGAAGATGTCTATTTTGACATCCCAAACAGCAGGGCAGTGAGAGAAAGGGACTGGGTGGGGTGTTGAGGGACAGTCGGGGAGGAAACTAACATTTACTGAGTGTTACACCAGCATAAGCTCTTTGGAACTTGAATTTCAAAGTGAGTCATTTCTCAAACCCTTCAGGCTCTCATCATATCTGCTTTTTAGAGAAGAGGAAAGCCCGGCCAGGGGAGTCCACTGCCAGTAAGCGGTGGGTCCGAATTTAAACTCCAAGGTGTTCCCAAGGCTCCAGATCCCCCTGCTCACCAGCAGTGGGCTCACTCCCTCAGTGCTCCTGGAAGCACCCTGTGAGGGAACTTCCTCAAGCTACCAGAGGGACCGCTGTGGAGGAAGTGGAGAGAACCTAGTTGGGGGTTTGAGTTCTATCCAGCCAGACGTTAAGACCCTGGTTTTACATAGAGGTTCCTCGGGGGCAGGGCAGGGTGAGAGGGTGGCCATTGGGAATGACCTCAGTGCCTTGAAAGCATTTGCCCCTTTGTACTTGTCCTTTCCAGATATTTTGTAAGGGTGTCCAGGTTTTACTAGAGGATGAACGAACTGCCTGTGAGGTGTTTATAATCTATCAGGAGTTCAGCCCTTGGCATAGATTTCATGAGTAAATCTGATCAAAGTGACTGAAAAGAACAGAAGGCAGCCTGTCCTACCTGAGCCCAACTAAAAGCCTGGGCCAATTTCTTCTGTCGCTAGTGTTCAAACATCCGGTGGGGGCAGACACAGGAGCAGCCCATTGTCCCTGCCTCAGGAAGTGACGATTGGGAAATGGACACGCACGTACCCAGGTTCTGGGTTTGAGGTCCACACTCAGTCCTAGCCCAGCTGGGACAGACTCTCACACTCATTCACCTGTAGCAGCTCCCACCTTCCACGTTAGGCGCCTCATCTCCAGGAGGGTCGCATGGGGACTGAATGATATGTGGGGCCTGGGCTGGGAGCGGGGTGTGACAGGGAGATGAGAAAATGGGAAGTTAGTTCCAAATGGACCTTGGGATTGTTGTGAATTTTAATTATTTGCCAAGTCAACCTGTATGTTCAGTCATTTTAATGTTAGGCAGACAGCATTAGGCAGGAATCATCTTGAATAACTGTTCCTGGTGTCTTGAATGTCTATTACAGGTACTTTACATGCATTAATGCTTGGGGACCTACAAAGTAGATTTTGTTACCTCCCCACTTTTACAAGTGAGAAAAGTGAGGCTCAGTGGGGTTACATTTTGCCTATAGCCATACATCATCACGAGCCAGGCACTAGGTTCTTTACAGGCATGGTTTCTATAAGACTTATGGCAAACAATCAGGGGAGGCCATATTACCCCTTTTTACACATTATGTGATTTGCTCGAGGCTACCAAGGTCTGATGATAAAGCCTACACCCTTGGCCTATTATCACATTAAGCCTGAGAGACTAAAGGAAGGTTGTCCAACAGACAACTGAGTATTATAGACACACAGCATTTTTCAAGCCAGTCAACCGTCAAGAGTCACCAGTCACATCCTAGTTTTACATACTGCAGGTTGAGGCTTTGAGGTTCCCCAGCTTATCCTGGTGGAACAGGAGCTGGAAGGCAGGTCTTTGAAATCCCAATTTATTCAGAGTTATGGAAAATTCAAGAAGCAAATTATGTGGAAAAGTTTTAAAGGTAGATAACAACATGACAAATGTCACCAGTCTGATACCTTTTACAATCCTGGTCCTAGACATGCAAACTCCAGTTGGGTGATGGATCTGGTGCTGGTGATCCCACACGGCTTCGGGAATGCTCAAGGGAAGTTTGGAATCATTGATGGGTGTTTCTTCATCAAACATTTGCTAAGTGTATATTCTACGCTTAGAGATGCAAAAATGAATGAGTCTCTGTTCACAGGGTTCACAGTCTTTGAGAGCATTCTGTTGGACAGATGTGGTGACCGTTGGCAATATTTGTGGTTCAGATACTATTATAGCTGGGAGGGGCTTTTCAGACTGGCCTGGTCTGAGCAGATTCCCTGACCATTCAAAATAAACCAAGCAATCATTGCTGAAGGGGAGCCAGGCAGACAACACGTGACCCCACAGAGCCGAGAATGATCTAGTTTAAAAACCAACCTGACCATGTCCCTCTGCTTAAAGCGCTTTGTCAGGCTCCCTGTCATCTCCAAGTCCTGACTCCTCCATGGCATATGATGCCTGCGTGACCTGGCCCCTGGCCACTTCTCCAAGCCTCTCAGCATCCCTTTCTGCCTCACACTGGTAGCTCCAGTAACACAGCCATCGAGGGGCCTTAAACAAGCCACGCTGTTCCCTGTCTCCCGGCCTTTGCTCATGACAAGTCCTGCCTCTGGGATTCTGGTTTTCTTCACCTTGCTAATGTCTACTCATGCTTTAAAACTCAGCTGCAGGTCTCCCCTCCAGAAAACCTTCGCTGACTCTCCTCACTTGGGTCTGGTTAGGAGCGCCACCTCGGATTCTGTAATACAGTCTTCTTATTCCTGCTCGTAACCATATTGCCCATGTCTTGAACAGGAACTGTATCCTATTTTTTCATGGGACAATTTTTAGGTTGTAGTGACAACCTAAAAATACACTAATTAGAACTAATGTTAGGGCTCATTCTTTGCTGGGTACCCAGAGTGCTGGTCATGATCGATGTCATTGAATCCTCACCCTGAGGTACATGTCTGTATTATTCTTAAAGAAAAGGAAATCAAGGCCCAGAGAGGTCAGTGTTGCCCAAGCACACGAGGGAGACAGATTTAGGCCCAGGCTGTCTAACTGCAGAGCCCAAACTCAACCACTGAAAGTACATGGAATGAATGAGTAAACTAGCAAATGAAATTGATGTGGGGCAAACAGTCTTGGAAGGCTGCCTGTAAGAATTGGTTTTTAGACCGGAGATGAGTCCCATGACTTGGTTCTAAGGAGGGGAGGACCTCTCTTAGGGCCTGAGGCCAAACTAGATGGATTATGTAAGAGAAACACCATGTCCAGTGACCTCATCAAAGCTTTGAGAACTCAACACGGGGAAGCTGGGAAAATGTTATTGCATGGTTGTAAATGGCCTGGACTAGGAGCCCAGAGGTTGGCTTTCTGATCCTGGCTCTGTTGCTGTGTGATCTTATTGGAGTGATTTAACTGCTCTGGGACTCAGTTCTGTCTATAAAAGTAGAAATTTGGATGAGGAGCTTTCCGAGACTCCATTCAGTTCTGACGTTTTGCATGTCTGTGAGATAGTGAGTGGGCGAGGGACCAGGGAGGGCAGTTTTGAAGCCCAGGGCTGCTGGTCCGAGAGATATGTGGACCCTCTTCAGGCTAGCTGCCTGCCACAGCCTCGGGACCATGTTCCCAGAAAGCTGGGAAGATCAGCACATTCTCTCTAATTAGATGGTGTTAACTTATCAATTTTGAATGAGATAAGTTTCCATGTATGATGTCCTGAATCGCTCCCTGGAGTGCTCATTAGTCACTTCCCCTGCAGCTGCCTCATTGTTTTCCAGATGCCAGCCAAGGGACATGGCATTTCCCTTCCCCAAGAATGGGGTACGTGAGGCTTAGCCGGTAAGTGACACAGGCATTGGT